GTTCTAAGTAAACTCATCAGAGAAAGCTAATCGATCTAAGTAAACTCATCAGACTAAGCCCTTCGATCTACATTTAAGATATTTATAGTTTTCATAAGTGTTTTAATGAACTTAATAAATAAAACTTAATCAGAATTTTTATCTTAGAATAAGAGTTACCAGGCCAAAGGGATGAATAATGTAAAAGTTCCTACTATAGAGAGACAAACTGCTTTGCAAAGACTATAATAATCTACAGTCCCACTAGTAGTCTGAACTATTTGATCATATTTTCACCGATACAGAAATATCGCTTTCTTTTAAAGTCTTAATTTCAAAAAGTTCCCTCCCTACACATGAGGTTGCCCATTTAGAAGCTACTCTACCCTTATGGAAAAATACACGGGAATCTGACTTGCGGGAATTCGGGTCTGGACGGTCTATGCTAGAGGCCTCTGGAGGCAGTGTTGAGGGTAGGGCGTAGAAGACGCCTTGAAAATATCTGTGAAAGGCAGTCCCACTAAGTCTCCCTTTGGAATCCAGCATCACCCAGTGAACTGAAGAAGTACTATGTAGGACTGGCATACGGCCCCCAGGAGTTGCGTTTTCCAACATCCGTGGGAAATGCCACATGGAACGAATGCCCTTTGAGCAGGGCGAGAAAACATTGTTGGATACCTCCGTGAAAAAGACTCACAGGAGGTTGCCCGTGTCGAAGCTACTTTACCACTGTGGGAACATTCTACAGAATAGGCACCGGATATCTAACGTGCGGGATTTAAGGTTTGGACGTCCTAAGGGAAAGGCCTATGGGGGCAGTATTGAGGATAGGGCAGAGCACATTCCTTGAAACTGTGCGATGGAGAGTCCCGGAAACTTCACCCCTTAGAACCCTCCCTCACTCAGTTTACTGGAGAAGTGTTGCGTACAACCGGAACACAGATCGATCCCTGGACGTTCCTTTTTCAACCTCTATGAGAAATCCCGTATGGCACGAAGGCCCTTCAAACGGGGTGAGAAAACATTACGGAATAGGTCGGTGAAAAAGTCTGATGTGAGGTCGCCCTTTAGGAGCTAGGTTAAGTTTATGAAAAAACCACCGGAATGTGCATCACACGTCCAGCTTGCACGAATTAAGGTTTGGAAGTTCTATTTTTAAAGGCCTCTTTCCCTGAGTGGGATGTTTTCTGGCCTTACTCGTGCTTTTTTTTTTTCCTATTCTTCTCTTTTTTTGCCCGCATCGGTGCTGTGGACAGTTACAGATGGTGAATGGGGCTGGCTGGTTATTTGGTTGTTTAGATAGAGCACAACCTCATAACCCCGACGTCACGGATTCGGATCCCTGGACCGGCCAGCCGGGCCTACCAGACGTGACCTAAAAAGGTACGATCGCAGGCCGAGGGTTGAGTAGATGACGGCGGAAAGCAGGCCGGTGGCTGAGGAGCCACGCCCTGATGCAGAAGGAATAAAGTTTTCAGAGAGGAAGCATTCGTCCCAGGCGGCGGCCATAGTCTGCCCTCGCTGTCGTTCCCCGAGCCCCACAACGTTCCCTCCCTCCCCTCCCCTCCCCTTCTCTCTGGGCCTCGCCTCACCTCTCCTCTCAGTCAGCCCACAGTCATACTGGAAACACCCATAAAGGAAGGCACTCCCACAGGTGGTCTCATGTCATCCCGTGTCCGAATCATGACCCTCTGACCGCACCTTAACTAGGAGACCTCGGTCTGGTTGCTGAGCCTCTACCGTCATTTCCTTCACTGTAAAATGCAGACGATGATAATACTTTATTTCAGGGACTCACAAACTTCTTCCTCAACACCCCATCCCCACCCCCCTAGGTAGGTAGGTAGGTAGGTAGGTAGGTGGAAGGAAGGAAGGAAGGAAGGAAGGGCCACATAGTAAATATTTTATACATTTTACACTTTGTCAAGATTAAAAATCTAGTAAAATGCAAAATAAATAGGTTAACAGTTAAATAGGTAAAAATTAATGCTGTTGCTGCTGCTGCTGCTGCTGCTACTACTACTACTGCTACTACTACTATTGCTGCTGCTACTACTACTAAAATTGTAAATATAAAGCAACTACAGCAACAACAAACACGATGATAACGACGACATCACAAACTTCCACAAGGTTTTAACACATAAAATTCAAAATGGAATAATCCCATGAGTGTCGCTTTTGTGATGTGGGTCTAAGAATGAGAAGAATGGATGTCCTTTGGCTTCACTTCATTGGCTGGCATTCAAAGTGACTGTTCCCTGCCGTCCACACTGATGGCAGATTTTTACCACCGTTGGTTCTGACACACACGGGGAAGGATTTCTCCTCGGGTTCTACAGAGTTACTTGTCTCCACTTTGAAGATATTCTGGCCTGCTGCGGTTGTTGTTCCTTGTGGACTGTGCGTGGAGGCTCATTCTGTACCCGTAGTCGCCCTCGTCCCCGAAAAACAACTACTGAGCGGGGTGTCGGTGACATCTGTTTTGTTGGATTCATCGAAATGAGAGCTGAGGGGAAGGATTTCGACTCATCCACCCTGCTTTTCATTTTACTTATTTATTTTAATTTTTAAAAAATTTTATCTATCGATATACGGTGTAGTTGTTTTCCATGTCCCTTTACCAGTTCCGCTACCCCCTCCCTCTACCCCTCCCCTATCTATTCCTATCTGTTGGCTTGTCTTAAAGAGTTCAAGGAATTGTGATTGTTTTGCGTTCTCCCCCCGCCCCTCCCCCCCCCACTGTTTATTACTTTGTTTGGTTGGTTGTTTTTAGCTACCACGGATAAGTGAGTGAAGACGTGTGGTGCTTCTCTTTCTGTTCCTGACTTTTTCTATTGTAAATAGTCCTGCGATAAACATGGGAGCACAGGTAACCCTTGGACGTGATGATTTCCATTCCCCCGGCTATATTCACGGCAGTGGAATAGCCGGGTCGTATGGCAGGCCTATCAGAAATCGTTTGAGGAAACTCCGTGCCGTTTTCCGTAAAGGCTGCACCGCCCTGCGGTCCCGCCGACGGTCTACGAGACTTCCTGTTTCTCTGCCGGCATTGATCGTTCTCGGTTTTCTGGATATTAGCCTAACAAACTGGAGTGAGATGTTATCTCAGATTGGTTTTGATTTGCACTTCCCGGACGCTGAGGGGTGTGGATGTTGTGCCCTTTCTTGTGTGTGTCTGCTGGCCGTTTGTATCTCTTCCCTTGAGAGATGCCTGTTCTGCTCCTTTGCCCATTTTTTACTTGGGCCATCTATTTTTTTGCTGTGAGTTCCTTGTATATTCTGGATAGGAATCCTTTGTCAGATGTGTATGTTGCAAATATTTTCTCCCACTCTGTTGGTTGTGGTTTCACTCTGGTCCCTGTTTCTTTTCCTGTGCAGAAGAAGCTTTTTAGTTTGATAGAATGTTTTTCCTCTGATCGCCTGTACCTTTGGGGTCCTATTCATCCCACTCCCAACATTGGACAGATCGTCATCTAGGTGAAAAAATCAATAAACTGACACGAGATCTAGGTGCTACTTTAGACCGATCGTACTTGGCAGATATCTACAGAACGTTCCATCTGACAATCTCAGGATATTTGGTCCTCTCCTCTCATTGGCACATGGAACGTTCTCCAGGATAGACCACGTGTTTGGTCACAAGTTGACTCTCAGCAAATTCAAAGAAATGGGAATTATTCCATGAATTTTCTCAGATCACAGTGGGTTAAAATTAGGAATCAATAGCAAATGAAACTCTGGAAGCTATGCAAACACAAGGAAATTAAACATTCTACCTAATGACAGAGGAGTCCGAGAAGAAATTAAACAAAGATACAAGGCGTAGAGGAGGACAGGGGAATTTAAGCCACACCAGGAAGATAAGTTGGAATCCTCTGAGTTTCAGGTGAGTGACCTGGTATCTATTATTCTTTTTATGGGGGGACAGGACTTCTTCCCTCTCAGTCCACTTTCTAGCTGTTAAGCTTATATGTAAGATGGAATAAAAAGAGAGAACATTTGGCAATTCCAAAAAAGCAGAGATTCTTGGCCCAAAATAATGCATAAAGAGATATGCTGAAAGGAGCCCCAGCCCTGCAGTGGGAAATGTCTGGCCCTTTTGCAGACACATGGAATGGATATGAAACATGAAATACCTGTACCGGAAGGATGGGGACAAGGGGCTGACACCCTGGGGAGGTGAGCCAAGGATTTACTCCCCAATGACAAGAAGACAGGCAGTCTTAGAGGTGGCCTCAAATGGAAAGACCATGCCTGTCAAGGATTTGAGGGGATGAGTTGACCAGGGAAGAGGACAGCAAACTTCCTGGGAAAGAACAAACTCAGAAATGTGGCTGTCACCTTAAAGAACAGACCATTTTATTCCTCTTTCTGGGTCCTGGAAAGTTTGACTGGCTAGTTACAGGGTGTTTAATAATGAACTATTCTTCCACCATGACTCTGTAGCACAGGCCTTGCATTCTGGATTCAGGACCAGCTTCCCTTGCCCTGGTGGTCAGAAAGGATGCCAAATTTGCATTAAGACTTAGGACTAACAGGTAGATTCATGGTGTAGGGATGAAACCGTTGCACTCAGGCATCTAAAAACCTAAATTCTAGTTTCCTCTCTGTCACTTAATATTTGTGAGAATTACAAGGCCATTCGTAAACCTTTTTGTGCCAATCTATTATCTTCACATCGCCTTTGAGCCTCAGAAACATATGTCTCCTTTCTCAAGCTAATGACATGTTTTTCATTTTGATAAAATTCATGGTCTCCATATCATGCCATTAACCGAGGAAAGTTAAGCCATGTTTTGGAAAACACTGGAATTTTGAAATAATTATTATATGTACTAACAATGCATAAAAGTTATTAATGATTGTATGTCGATTATTTTGTGATCATTATGTGCAATAATTTATTCGCACCTTGTATAAAAAGTACTAATAAAATATAAAACCTCGGAAGCAGTGTGTTATGAATGTTGTGCTTCACGGTGCAGAGGGATTCTGCCCTCAGGACTGGGGGATTTATTCCTGCAGCTGCCAGGAAGGTCATCGGCTAACAGCTCTCAGCTGATAGACCCCTGGGAATTGCTGTGGCTGCAGAGGCTCATCTTACCTAAGGTTATGTCCCCTTTCCCAGGGCAGCCTGCAGGCAATCAATGGGAGATGCTGGGGTGTAAAGACCCCGTCTCTTGCCTCAAGTGGGGATAGCTCTGTAGGGCAGCTTCAGAGCTCCCTGAGGGGTGCCAGCTGAGCCCTGATGAATCGGCCTCACAGCCCAACTTCTCCCTCCACCCAATCCTGTTTCTTAACCTCTGCCCACAAGTGCTGATACCAAAGGCATTCCTGAATAAACCTCCTGCACTGTGTGCCCCAGGAGTCCAACCTGACCTGGAGTATCATAACCCTCATGGGCATTCCAGTTCTAGTCAAAATTAAGAATTTAAAAAATATGATTTATTCTATAACTCCCTCTCTAGCTCTTACCTCAAAGATGAATTGAGCACCCTACATTTGCAGCAGCCCGGGAGCAAAGTCAGCAGACTTCGGACATGACGCCCCCTCTCCCCAGAGCTTGCTGCTTCTCCACTCCTGTGCCCGTCTATGAACTGCAGCTCCCCCCT